GGGTTTGAACCACCAGCCTTCTGGTGAGCAGTCAAGTGCCTTAGGCACTATGCTACCAGAGCTCCTATGATTTTCTATAGGAGAATTAATTTAAAACATTTACAAAACTTTGAAGATGGTAGAAGGTGGGCTTGTGGAACAAAGATACTATGTAATCATAATATATCCATATAAGAATGTGTTATGTTTCTAGAAATACTGAATCTTAACTGGGGCACAGTTTAGGCATTGCTAGCTGTGTCCTGCGACAAATACCATATTTTTATACAAATAATACAATGGCTCAACATGTGTTTGCCAGCCTGCCCTCCCTCTCACAAGGTATTTTCCGTAAGCAATTTATGCTATTTTTTTTTTTTTTAATAGCAGTATGTAAAAAAACAACTGTCATAGTGTGCTTTTGAAAATACATGTTGGGGAGGTGTTGGCAAACAAATCTAGAGCCTGCATTATTTGCTTAAAAATATAGTACTCCAAGTGCATTTAAAAAATGAAGATACAGCTAATTTATAGGAAAGAGGTGAGAAAAAAAAAATCTAGACAAAGCATTTCCAAATAGCAACATCTAAATAAATATAGTAATTAAACAAACAAACAAACAAAACCAAAAAACACTAAATGTGCAGTAGAGATCTACCTCTACAACATAGCACAGGAGAAAATTATTTAGGTAAGCAATTTCTTCATTTCCCAAAACAGATACTCGAGGAGATACTCTAATTCTAAAAAAATTTCTAGGAATGTCTCCAATAATATAAAGTGTCACAATATAGTTATAAATGACTGTGACATAGTCTTCTCAATATTTAAAACTGAACAAAAGAATATATTGTTCATTTTTCATAATCTTGATCAAGGAGATTTCCCATAAATAATATAAAATATATCTGAAGAAAAAGGAAGGAAATTTCAGTGAATAAAGAAACAGATTATGGTATTTCTATACTGTTAATTGGAACTGATGAGAAAACAAATCTAATAAACAATTAATTTAAGTTTTTAAACTTTACGTAGCTTTCAGGCAAATTTCTTGGGCAGAAAAAAAGTTTAGTATCCCCATTCAATGTTTGTCACACCTTGAAGTTTATGTGCTTTCATTGTGACCTTAAAAAATTGTTCTATTTGCTACTGAACAATGGCAGTTATTACTAGATACTCAATTCAATACATGCTTAACTGAAATGAATGATGTTGACAAAGACAGCTTCAACTGAAAAAATAAAATACACAAATAAATATTTTAATTCTGCAAAGTCTTTTAATTATTGCAGGTTTGTTAAAGATTTCCAAAGTACTGAAAGAGAAATCATGTTTACATGATTTTAAGATGTCCTTCCCTGAGAACAGATGATCAAACAGCTACAATTTTACAACTGAAGAGGATATGGAAATTTATTTTCAACACTCTTTGCTCAAAGTTAATTTTACCTTTCATACCCTATATAAGCAGACCATCGCTGATACACTTAATTGGAGGCAACTGCTCTTTGTTTTCAATTTAGCAAAGGGGAACTTGTTCCCAGAAGTGTTGTTAATTCTTATTTCAGGAATTCTACAATACATTATTTCCACTGATTATTATATATCGAATATCTGTTAGAATATGTAACACTTTAAAGACAATCTTGACTGGAACTACAAATTCTATAATTCTATTAATTTTAGAGTTATCTTTTGTTAATTTTGTCTGTCATAATCTTTCTACTGAAGATACTGCAAATAAAAATATTTTTAATGTAAGAGAAGATGAATAAAAATGTCCCTAATAATAACAATCATTCAGCAGAACTAACTATACCCAAATCAATACCAAGAAGAAAAAAAAAAAACAGAAGAAGGAAAGCTAATGCCAAAGGATTAAGTATTTGTGTCAAGTTAGAGCATGAAAAAATCATGCAAATATATAACCAAACCACCGTATATTGATGCCATTGTTGAATAATCCTAAACCTGAAAGTAAAATCTGCTAAGTATATTTTTGCCACTTAAAGTCATCAGGTAAAAGGAGTTAATATCCTCAAAGAAAAATTCAGGCCCACATTCTATTACTACAATTACAAATAGAACTGTACTTTATACCCAATGTCCCAAATTAACTACCAAGTGAATAAAATGTATTATTTTTCAAAATATTGTTTTAGAATATCAATATTTAAATTTTTTTAATTAATCAATTTAAAAAATATTGTTTTAGTTATCAATAATATAAGTATCTTTGTTGTTGTTGTTGTTGTTTGCCATTGAGTCGGCCCCGACTCATAGCGACCCCTCCTTGGGTTTCCGAGGCAGTATCACTATGGAAGTAGGAATGCCCAACCTTCCTTCCGAGGAGTGCCTGGTGGGTTTGAACCGCCAGCCTTCTGGTTAGCAGTCAAGTGCCTTAGCCACTATGCTACCAGAGCTCCTAAGTATCTTTAGATAAATAAATTCATCAAACTTGTAAGAAAACACTGTATGATCAAAGATGCAGACACAATTTTTTTTAAGGTTCTGAATAAATTTTTCTAAGTCTCAATCTACCACTAGATAATTCTATTTTGTTTAGCACACATACACTCAAACTAAAAGCTATCAAGCTTACTAGTTTTCTTAACAGCACTTGAAGAGTACTCAGTGAAGGGATTGTTTTGTACACTGATAATGATGTTAATTTTTAGAACACCATTGTGATGTTGCATTGTGATGTTTTCTAAAAGAGTGAAAAGCACCTCCAAATAATAATGCTGCCCCGCAGATCTCTTATTGGTCTGAATTAGATATACTATAGTCTAATGTATCCCCAGAGATTCCTAGTTTCTTTAAGAGTCTTCTAACCTGATTTTGTCTCCACACTACTTACATTACATAATTGTTCAGATTTTCCTTAACACAAACAAGATACACTAATAATTTATCAGAAAGGAGTTATTACAATTCCAAGTTAAGTACTCTATCAGTTCCTTAATTAGCGTAGCCATTTCAGTAAGTTCCATAAAACTTTTGAAATGCCAGAAATATTTCACATCTTCTTTCTTACATTATAAGTTTGAACTAGGGAGAGGAGAGGAAGAGTTCAAGAAAAAGATAATTTTAAATAGGTCCAAACATACAAATGGGTCAGGTTCGGGAAGCCGGTATAGCAGATACTAAACTATAAGCTACAAGGATGAATGGCTTTGCTATTATTATAATAACATAAGAATCACACAGTTATACAGCTAAAAATTTTCTTAAAGGTACAATGTCTCATTCAATGTAAGAATATCCTGTATAACATCCTTGAATTAGATGATGATCTAATTCATCTGAAAAAAGAGTATTACTTATCAAGTCATGCTATTATATTTCTCAATTTAAACTATGAGCAAGATTTTCTACATTGTAACTTAATATGGTCTCCTTAATTCTGACTCTGCAATAATGACTCCTCATCAGGAATTAAACTAGGTTTGGCTTGCATACCACTCTGCGTACCCTCAAAAGTATTAAACGAAATCTCTTCTAGTGGAGGTCTTAGATTTTAAAAGGAGATTCTCTTTCTTCAATCAAACTGATTGGGGAAGAAATACAGGGTCAAATGAAACATGAAAGAAACTCTGAAAACAGATAAGGCTAAAATAAAAAAATTCATAATATTGGCTTTAAATGTAAAGATTAAAAAGAGATTAGCGCTAATACTAATGAATATAATAATAGCTAGAATCGTAACTTTAAAAAATGAATGTAACCTTGAAAAGGAAAAATTTTCTCTTTTTCAGGCTAAATATTGGTAATAGAAGAAACAGAAATGCTTATCTCTTCAGAGATCTCTTCCTATTCACCACAATTCCTAACCTCCCAAAGCCAATAAATCCTGGAATAAACACACCTATCCTACCTAAAGAACCCTTAGACTCTCAACCTGATTATTTCTAATTTGAGAACTGCTCCTGTTAGAACAGATTTTCTCTCCCCTATACATAGAAAAATGACTGAAATGAAAATGACTTAAATGAAAATGATACCATAGCAGGAAATTCTTATTGTTAGTAACCATTGAGTCAACTCTGACTTATGGCAACCCCACGTGTGCAAGTATAAGCAACCCATGAGGATAACTGCTCCATAGGGATTTTCAAGGCTGTGAATTTCAGATGCAGACTGCCAGGCTTGTCTCCTGAGCAACTACTGGGCAGGTTAGAACTGCTAATGTTCTTGCTAACAGTCAAGTAATGAATTATAATCCTGGGAATCTCAATAAGTACATACATTCCAGTAGATGCTATGTGAGTGTCCTTAGCTTCCCTAATCCTAAGAAGACCTTCCAATGTCCATTTTAGTGACTATTTCTGTTAAACTGATTACTAGTGAAAGCAGCAAGGAAAACAAAGTCAAGTGAAAGTATAGGCTTATGTGACTCTAAAAATTCCTGCAACTAAAAACCTTAAGTAGTTTGTGCTAAAAAGGGTCCTAATGCCAATCAGAAATTGATCTTTTGACAGTTGCATTACATCAAGGCCTTTAAGTGTTCATGTGCAAAGTAAAAGACTAAATATGTACTTTCCTAATTCAAAACTGTGTATCTGTGCCCTATTAAGTTCAAACGATATTTACCTGACACACTGTGTTGCTGGTAATTGTAGGAAGATGGAATTGCACCAATAGGAAGCTGGGGCTTTGGATTGCCTGGTGGTACCTCATCATCATCCTCCCCAAAATGATGAACTTTCTCGTACTTTTCTAGATAACTGAAATAGAAAAACAGCACAGCAAAGATTTTAAAATAGATTTTTGTCTTTCTTTTTAACCTCATCATATATATCTGTTCTTAGATGCTCTAAAAAAAAAAAAAAAGATACCCAAAACAGTAACTTCAGGAGTTAATACTGCAGATAAACCCAATGCATTGCTTCTAAAACTGTTGTTTATTTTCAGAAAAGACCACATCATTACTCAAATAAAAATATAAAAAGCAGGGAATCTCAACGGACAACTCCATGTAGATAAATGACAGTATATTTATTTATTTATAAAAAAAAGTTACGCATGGTCATTGTAAAAATGAGTTTAAATGAAAAGATTCTCTATCCCCTGGCTTCCCCAATCTCACTCACCAAAGATAACCAAAGGTTCATGTGCATAGTAGAGTATATTTTCTGTGCATATTTTCAAATGAAAATAGGATCAATCTACATTGTTCTCTAGGTTGATTTTTCATTTGGAAATATATTTTAGAAATTTAATGTCATTATTCTGCACTACTACATTTTTTTAATGTATCGTACTTGATACTATTGATGTATCATAAATTAATTAACTAGATCTCTAGGGAAATGTTTAGGATAGATAGTTTCAATTGTGATTTTTTGCTATTACATACCATGCTGTAATAAACTTAATATGGTACTAGTTACAATATTTTCTCTTGCTAGACACCTGGAAATAGTATGCTCATTTTAAATAGTAATATGGTCAAACTCCTATTCAAAAATCTTGTGCCTAATTCACTCTGACCACATTATAAGACAGTTCATGTATCCCCCATTGTATCACCTCCCCTGGATAAGAGCAATCTTTTTAATCTTAATTAGATTTTCAAATTCAGTCTATCATTACCTACCAGTTCATACTGAGATTCACAGGTTTTAAAATGGGGAAACAACTGATCAAAAACAGTTTTTAATACAACACTGTAATCTAACATACTTGTTATTGCACTTGAAAAAGAAGTTAAACTGAATAATATGCTGATTATGTACAATTCACTGTACAAAAGTTCTGAATAGGATTATTCTACAGAGCTACTCTTATTCCACTCCCAATCCAAGCAGCTCCTAGGTCAACTCGTCGGTATGTTAATATCTTAAGTGTTACAGGACTTCCATCCTCCTAGTTGCCAACTCTACCCACTCTGTCTTTTTCATTACATACAGCTGAAATACGAGGTGAGGGTGATCAGTGAACATATAAGATGATCCCAGAAGTATGTATTATTTTAGCACCAAACCTTAACTTTGAGGTGGGATAAATATAATCTACAATTTTACAAACAAAGACTTAATGACACGGAAAATTATTATCATTCTTCATTTTTCCATTCCAGCTTTATAAGCCAAAATAATTCCTATTTTTAAGCTTGGAAAAGAATTAAACTTTCCCTTTCCATTCCTTCCAAGTGCTCCACATAAGCTCGATTTGAGTAGAAAACTTTCTTAGGTGGCAGCTTCGTAACTAATGAATCCAACACATTCCTTTACTGCTGTAGACAGAGTATACTAAAGCGGAGATATATGCACAGATGTAACCCTTGAGCACTACTGAAGAGAGTACATAGCTGTACACATTTCAACCTGATCCTGGGATAAGCTCAGATAGAATTTACAGTGAAACAAATAAAAAGAGATGACTGAAAAGAAGGATGTTGGGATAACTCCCTAGCTACAACTGAGTACACATTAAGTCAGTAAGTTGCTGTACTTGTGGGCTCAAGACCATGGTTATGGGGGATGTGAAGCCCAACTGGCACAACATAGTACACAAAAATAGTGTTCTACATTTTACTTTGGTGAGTAGTGACTGAGGTCTTAACAGCTTGCAAGCAGCCATCTAAGATGTAATTACTGGTCTCTCTTTGTCTACAGCAAAGAAGAGTCAAGAAAATCAAATATACGTGGAAATAGTCCAAAGGTCTAGTGGACCATGAGAACCTCAGCCTATATGACCCTGAGACCAGAAGAACTAGATGGTGTCCAGCTACCAATACCAATCACTCAGAAAAGGATCAAAATTAGAGATGTAGAACAAAATTGAAAATAAAAAAGACCTGTTACTAGTCAGACAGAGACTGGTGAAATCCCCAAGACTATGGTGCCAAGTTACCCTTAGGGTTTGGAACTGAACTCACTCTCGTGGCTTAACTCTGCCAAACTATACACATGCCTACAAGCCTAACAACTACCCTAGGGAGATGCACTCCTTAGAACAATCAACCATGGGAGATCAGAAAGGCAGCATTTGGACAGGGAGAAAGGTAGGGAAGGGGCAAGAATGCACAGGGAAGAAGGACACAGAGAAAGGGCAACCATGGGGAGGAAATGGGAGGAGTGCTATTACACTACCAGGAATGTAATCAGTTCACAAAATGTGTATGAACTGTTGAAAGTAAAACCAATCTGCTTTGCCAAATTTCACCCAAATCACAATTAAAAAGTTTAAAAAAAAAAAAAAAAGGCTCTCCAAAATATATGTACAATAGATTTCAATGGATAAAATGAACCAAACCTATTCTTTTTGGATTGTTAATACCAGTATCATAAAAAGAAAAAAAAATTTTTTTTATATGTAATCTAAATTTACCAAATTTTTTTTAAATTAGGATTTGGGTGAAGATTTACAGAGTAAATTCACTTTTCATACAGCAGTTCACATATACTTTGTCTCATGATAAAAAGAAAAATTTGTATGTTTAGACACAAAAAGCAAACTGGAAAAACAGCTACTCCAAAATTATGTTTCATGACTTCTTTCTGCCAATGAAGAATGTCACATGAAATCACATGAGCAATAGTAGTGACAGAGGCATTTTAGATAGGATGGTCTTTCTTTTAAAAATAATTTCTAACTAAATATAATCAAAACAAGAATATTTAGAATTTTAACATAAAAATCTTACAATTAAATACTATGATTCACATGCTCTTTATAAATATGTGGTTCAAAATTGAGCACAGCAGATATAATAATCTGTATGTTTTCCATTACAACTACAAAGGAAAAAACATTAGTAAATAAAGACCTTATGTATAATCCACCACTTGTCTGTCAGTTTGTCATACTCTGATAGCTTGATGGAATACCAACTGAGATGTTTCAACACATTCAAAGATGCATGAGGTCACTTGTCTATACCAAGAAATTTAGAAGACAGGTATTTGGTTAACAGACTGGAGGAGATCCATATTTGTGTTCATTTAAAAAAGGTGATCCAAACCAATGTGGAAATTTATCAAATATCCTTAATATCACACACAAAGAAAATATTGCTGAAACTAACTGAAAAACAGTTACAGTGATACACAGACAACAACTGCCAGAAATTCCAACTGGATTCAGTAAAGGATGTGGAACAAGGGATATGACTGCTTATGTAAAATGTATCTTTGCTAAAAAGCAGAGAATACCAGAAAGAGGTTCACCTGTGCTTTACTGACTATGCAAAGACATCTGACTGTGTGGATCACAACAAATTGTGGGTAACATTCTGAAGAACGAGAATTCCAGAAAACTTAATTGTCCTCATGATGAACCTGTACATAGACCAAGAGGCAGTTGTCTGAACAGAACAAGGAGATACTGCATGGTTTACAATTAGAAAAGTTGAATGTCAGGGTTGTATCTTTTCATCATATTTATTCAATCTGTGTGCTGAGCAAATGATCAGAGAAGCTGGACTACAGTAAGAACAAAGTGGCATCAGGATTGAAGGAAGACTCACTAACATCTCCAATATGCAGATAACATAACCTTGCTTGCTGAAAACAAAAGAGGATTTAAAACACTTGCTGATGAAGATCAAACACTACAAGCCTTCAGTATGCATTATACTTCAACAAAAAAACAACAATCCTCACAACTAGACCAATAAGCAACATCACGATAAATGGAGATAAAAATAAAAGTTGTGAAGGATTTCATTTTACCTGGCTCCACAATTAACACCTATGGAAGCAATCAAGAAATCAAATGATGTGCTGCATTAGGGAAACGTGCTGCGAAGGAGCTCTTTAAAGTAATGAAGAGCACAAATGTCACTCTGAAAAGTTATGCGCGCCTGACCCAAACCATGGTGTTTTCAACTGCCTCCTACGTATGTGAAAGCTGGACAATGAATAAGGAAGACTGAAGAAGAATGGATGCATTTGAATTATGGTATTAGTGAAGAATTCTTAATATTCCATGAACTGCCAGAAAAATGAACATATTTGTCTTGGAAGAATTACAGTCAAAATGATCCTTAGAAGTGAGGACGACGAGACAGTCTCAAACGTTGGAAAAAAGATATCATGCTTGATAAAGTACAGGGTCAGCGAGATGGAGTGACACAATGGCTGCTACAATAGGCTCAAACATAGCAATGATTTGTGAGGATGTTGCAGGACCAGGCAGTGTTTCATTCTGTTGTACACAGGCTTGCTGAGTTGAAACCAACTTGATGGCACCTAAGAATAACAACATATATACAATCTTTTCCCTTTCAGATGATCCCAAATGGAATGTAAACAGTTATATAATGAACTGGCAGCACAAGTACTACAGACTCAAAATAAACAGTATGTTTTGGTTCTCTAGTGCTGCTCTAACAGACATACCACAGGTGGATGACTAACAAACAAGGCTTTATTCTCTTACAGTTTAGGAATAGTAGAAGTCTGAGTTTAAAGTGTCAGCTCTAGGGACTGGGTGAAGGCCCCTGGACCTTGGGCTTCAGCTCTGCCTCTTGCTCCCAGCCCACTGAAGCTGGAGGCATCTCTTAACTCAGGCAGATGTTGATGGCTGAGGCTGACAAATCCAAGGATGACAAATAAAATGGCACGGTCTCAAGATTATTAAGGACCATGGCAGGCCACTAGTTCAAGTCCAGAAACAGTCCCAAGATCAGCAGACAACATGCAGGTCACTGAGATGAAGACTCAGCCAAATGCAAGATCCAGATGTGCAAGCTCAAGACCTGCCTCAAAGTGTCTTCTTA